ACAAATATAGTTATGGTCATGCGTTTGGGTTTATATCCTAATTTATATCAAATGTTCCCCCTCCCCAGTGGCCTGTATGTGCTGATGAGAGTGAAGGTGGCTCTATGGCGCTACATGCGTAATGGAAGTAACATTCCTTCCATATTCGCTCAGACAGTGAAACGGCACCCAAATAAACCAGCACTGATCTATGAGGCCACAGGGGAAATATGGACCTTCACTCAGCTGGACGAGATGTCTAATGCCGTGGCCCACTGGGCCAGAGGTCAGGGGTGGGTCTCGGGTGATGTGGTGGCCCTCTTCATGGAAAGCAGACCGTTGCAGGTGGCTCTTTGGCTGGGCTTGGCCAAGGTTGGGGTGGAAGCTGCACTCATCAACTTCAACCTGCGGAATGATTCCCTCGTGCACTGTGTTGAGGTGTCGGGGTCCCGGGCCATTGTGTTTGGAACTGAGCTTGCTGATGGTAAGAATGCATCAACAAGGTAGAAAAAGCTGATCCAGGAATTAGGTTTTTAATCCTGTATCGTTGGAAAGGTACATTGTAAAATGCTGTTCTGCAGGATAACATCTTATTTAGGGCAGAACAAGTCAGATGATTACTGGAATGAGTAATGTTTAATTCAATGTTCTTGTGTAACATCAAGGGAGGTGGTGTTGTCACCCTTTTATTTTTATTTTGTGTGTGTAACATTATAACTGTGTCTCCTGAGTATCATGTGGTCAGGACATGCTGTTGCTGATCACATTGCAAGTAAAAACTCCCTTTAGTCCATCCCTTTTTGAAGTTAGTCAAAATTCTATTGTGTTGGCTTTCTGTTGCAACATAAACACACCACTGATGTTTGTGTGTGTGTGACTACTTTATTTACTGTAAATACTTTTTTCATCATAGATATCAGTTTACTCTTCTTTAGTCTGTAGGCATCATGGCTTCAGAAAGGAAATTCTTAGATAGTTTGACTTAATAATTTCATATATACATTTCTACAAAATTGTATTTAATTGTCAGAAATATTTAGATTATGTTTTTATTTTAACTAGCGTGCCTGAACTTGATGTCTTCTCTTCTCTCCTTTTCCTCTTACTGAATGGCAGCCATGTCAGAGGTCAGTTCCTCCATGAACCAGGCCATGGTACGGTTCAGTACAGGGGACCTCGGTGCAGAACATCTGGCCCTTCTGGGTGCTCAACCTCTGGACCCAATCTTAGCCTTGTCACCTAAACATCACCCCACACCTTGTGTTCCCCCCAAAGGCATGAATGGTGAGTACAGTCACTGAAATCAAGTGTACCTCTGTCTAAGACTTCATATGTATCTTAATGAGAAGTTCCTTTTTAAATACCCTATTCAAACTATGTCAAATATTCGGCTGGTAAACTGGGGTTGTCACTAAATACTTTTTTGAATAATATGTTGGTTCTTCTTTGGATTAATCAATTTGATGTTTGGTCTATAAAATGTCAGAAAATAGTGAAAAATGTTGTGCTTACCAAAGCCCTATTTGTTATTCTAAAAAAAAATCTGAAAATATTCACATTTAACAAGCTAGAAAAATGTAAAAAGGTTACTTTTGATATACAAACCGATTAATTATCAAATTATTTGGCAAATGTTTGAATAGGTATAGACTAAAAGATTAATCTTTGCAGCTTACTGTTAACTTTAGCGCTATACTAAATTCCCAAAGTTTGTGTCCTACATAAATTTATTTTTCTCACTCTGCTGTCTAGCTTCTGAAGTAAAATTGCTTCCCAGTCATTATGTGACTCAGGTGGGATGAGGGGAATGCATGGCTGTGAAAAACCTTAAAAGTTATGAGTCATTTTGAATTCAAGACAGATATTGACAGTTTTCTCTGGGCAGCAGTCAGTAGTTGGTATGAATGACTCACTAAGATACTGTCTGAATAACAATTCATATCCCTGAATAATGGTACATCTGTCTCAGATGAATATTATATAAAAGTCATCATTACAGGTCCAAGCCCTAGATATACCCTTTCCAAACAAACTAGAGGTCTATGATGCCCAGGAAAAGCAAAGCCGCATTGAAAATTGTATTTCATGTCCCATCATTCTTTAGGTTTATTGATGGCATTTCCAACAGTAACTGAAATGCTGTGAACCTATATGTTTCTTTATTAATGCTCTATTGTATTTTTCTTCTGCAGACCGTCTATTTTACATTTACACCTCCGGCACCACAGGAATGCCAAAGGCTGCCATTGTTGTACACAGTCGGTACGTTGCTCTCAATAAAAGCACCACTCTCCAGAATTGTTACAGTTGCTGCGCAGTTAATGATAGATGTCTGAGAATCTCTCCTGTGTTCCCACTGCAGTTACTACAGAATTGCTGCTTTTGGATATTTCGCCTTTCGCATGAGCCCAGTTGACATCATCTATGACTGCCTGCCTCTCTATCACTCAGCAGGTATTTGATGGCAGGCTCCAGCTCTTGAACAATAGACTTCACCTGTTTTAGGTGTGCATAACCAAAGTGTCAGCTCTTTCTTTTTCCAAGGTAATATCATGGGTGTCGGTCAATGTCTGATCCATGGCCTCACTGTGGTAGTGAAGAAGAAATTCTCTGCCAGCCGCTTCTGGGAAGATTGCATTAAGTACAACTGCACTGTAAGAGGTTTTCTCGGAAAATATCCAGAATTTTACTTAATCAATAAAACATTAATACTGAACAAGCCACAATAACAACTATGTTATCCCGTTGTAGGTGGTGCAGTATATTGGGGAGATCTGCCGCTACCTCCTGTCTCAGCCAGTACGGCCGTCAGAAAAAGGACACAAAGTTCGGCTGGCGGTGGGAAACGGGCTGCGCCCCAGTGTGTGGGAGGCCTTCACAGAGCGTTTTGGGGTGGCACAGATTGGCGAGTTCTATGGAGCAACAGAGTGCAACTGCAGCATCGCCAACATGGATGGCAAGGTCAGCAAACACTGCTTTTTTTTTTACTTGTGTGACTTCCATGATAAAATGGGACTCGGATGAGAATTGAGTTTATTCTGTGATGCCAGGTGGGAGCCTGCGGATTCAACAGTCGCATTCTCCCCAATATTTACCCAATCCGTCTGGTGAGGGTGGACGAAGACAGCATGGAGCTGGTTCGAGACAGCCGGGGGCTCTGTGTGACATGCCGCCCTGGTAAATAATATGAATACTACCATAATGATTTTTTTTCTAGATTTGGGACATGTTTTCAAATGTTTTAGTCTTCTGAAATCACGCCATTAAACGCCTTCATGTCTTGCAGGGGAGCCAGGGCTTCTGGTGGGTCGTATCAACCAGCAGGATCCATTACGGCGTTTTGATGGCTACGCTAACCAGGACGCTACTAAAAAGAAGATAGCTCACAATGTCTTCAAGAAAAATGATTCTGCATATTTATCAGGTTACCAATCTTTTTTATATTTTTGTAAATCTGCAAAAAGTCTTGTTATTCTTCAAGATAAAGAAACACTAACAAATAATGTCAATGTTGTATTGCCAGGCTTCCTTTGTCTGTGCTGAGTAGGGGTAATTTGTATTTGACCAGACATGGAATCTTTTTCAAATTCAAATGTTCTACCCATATGTCTTCTCCAGGTGACGTGCTGGTGATGGATGAATTTGGCTACATGTACTTCCGTGACCGTGGTGGTGACACGTTCCGCTGGCGAGGAGAAAATGTCTCCACCACAGAGGTAGAGGGCGTCCTCAGCAGTCTTCTGTGTCAGACTGATGTGGCAGTGTATGGAGTGACAGTGCCAGGTAATGGTTAACTCTGCATGCTTAACAATTTCCTTCGGGATAAATAAAGTCTTATCTTAATGCTTTCAGCCTTACGTTGCAACCATAACTGTTATTTGTATTTGATGCATATAGCTTGTAACTGTGCTCACTACTTGACGAGCATGTATCTCCATGTGTCTTGCCAGGTGTGGAAGGTAAGGCCGGCATGGCTGCCATTGCAGACACAACAGGAACTTTTGACTGCAACAGCTTCCTGCAGAAAGTCCAGCATGCTCTTCCTTCGTATGCTCGCCCCGTGTTCCTGCGAATTTCACCACAGGTGGACACCACAGGTACAGTGTCCTGATATCCATTCTGAATGAAAGAAATATCAACCTCACTTTAGATTTGTATATCAACAAATCATAATCTATTTAATGTATCAACAGGTACATTCAAGATCCAGAAAACCAGGCTGCAGAGGGAGGGATACGACCCGCGTCGCAACACTGACCAGATCTACTTTTTAAACACTAGAGCCTCGTGTTACGAGGCTGTAGATGAGGAGCTATACAATGCTATAGCCGAGGGAAGAATGTCTCTATGACATGGAGGCCGTTGCAGGGCAGTTGTGTTGCCTCAGAAAATAGATGCTGTAGAGAGAACATATGCATACGCTGGTGTAGGGATCAGTCAGTTTGGGTGCACCACTGACTGGATTATAACCTTTCAGGAAACAAATGAGAAGACTACTTACATAGGCAGAGTATTGTAACAGATGAAGTTCAAACCTTGTATGATTAACACTCCAGGCAATAATGTAAGGGCATTTATTTCCTTTAATAATTTGTTGTGTAATAATTATACATGAACACCTCAAAAAGCCTTTAAGCATCACCGCACAGAGTGGGTATAGCTCACAACCGATTTGAAGTAGGATACATGCGGTAGCATCAAGTCAAACTGTTACAGGGTATATTCCCATATATGAAGAAGGCGTAAAGAACAATTATGTGTAGGTTTAAGCAATACTTGAGTGTAGAGCTATGGAGTTACTGATGTGTGTTTGGATGAAGCTGAAGGCCAGACTTCCACATGCAGCTACTAGATAAAGCACTAACCGTAGTCTCTTTTTAAAGGAAAACTAATCTCACTTATGTCATATTTAAACCTCTGAACAAAACTGGCACTTGTTTGCAGATACACGAAGGTTGTGACAGTATGTGCCTTATGTGAAATATCAGATCTGTGTTTCAAATGTTTGTTTGTTTTTTTTAAATTAGCTTTTCTTAGAAAGGAGCTCAACAGGTTGTGGTAATCACGAGTGATTTATTGCCATGCAAAGCTAAGCCACAAGTGTCATTTTATAAAACAAATCTTATGAGTGTAATATATGGGTGTTTTAAAGCTATTTACAATTTCACATCTCCAAGACTACATATTTTGTTGTAACTCAAATTAAATATTTTAAAACAAGTTTGTTTCATGTCATTTATCTAAAAGAACGATAGAGCTGAATTTTTATGTTTGCTCTCTTGGAAATGTAGTGCTGTAATTTTCCACAATCGTCTCTTTTTAAAATAGAAAAAGATATATTTCAGATGCCTAAGCAGCCATTCTGTTTTGTTTTTTTATAACTTTATTAAAACCTTTGGCAATATGTCACCAAAATAAATGATTAATCCATTGACAATAATATTCTTGTGGGCAGGATTTTCAGCGGATGCTCTTTGCAGGCAGAGCAGAAGTAGGGAAAGGCTCTGGGTGATATGATCCCAGTGAAGGTGTAGAGCGGTGTTCTCTCTCGAGGGTCATAGAAGGTTACCTTGCCCCTGTCCATATCTAAAACTACTCTTATCACTTCTGGCGCCTTAGTCATGTTCAGCGGCTCCCACGGTGCTGTGCAGGCCTTGTGCTCACTGTTGCGAAACCTTATAGTCCAGAATCCCTCTGCTGGTGTCAACACGTGCTTGCCCTTCCTGTTGATGGAGTCGCTGGCTACTCCCACCACCCAGTAGGTGTTGTTCTTCACCTCCACATCCCAGCTGTGGCGTCCAGAGGTATACCCCTCAGCAGCCAGCATCTCAGCACTGATGTCGAAGCGTTCTGGGTTGTCAGGCAGCTTGAAAATCTGGGTAGAGTTCTGCACAACTGTGAGATCCTCTGAGAGGATGAAGCAGCTGGCCGCTGTGTTTGGATCCAGAATCACAGGATCTAGAGAGAGAAGGAAGAAAAAAAAAGCAGAAGTTATGTTAAATAGTCTGGGAGAAGAGACATTCAATAAAACATGGCTATTTATTTTTGGAAAAACTCACTATATTTAACTATATTCTTCATCTTCTCCCACACTCTAAACTTCAAAGAGCCCAAGTGCTTGGCCACATCAATTAGAGCACCAGGTACATTTTGGGGTTCAAGGGGAGTTCGCCAGGTTCTGCAAAGATACTTCAGCAGTTAGTTGTTGAGAATTGTGTCTGTAGGGCTATATTATCATAAATATATTAGCTTAGCAGGATCCTTGTGGCATTAAAACTTACCTCCTTATTGTTTCCTTGTAATTCTGAAAAGAAAAAAGAAGAAAACTGCTTAGGACCAATTGAGTTTAAGTTTGTCATTCAAATTGTCTGAAGAAACAGTCAAATCTACCTTAAGAAATGGGACATCTTTAGAGTTCATCTCCTTTTCCACTAATCTGATGGCGTTTGAGAGAGATGCAATTTCATGATTCATATCCTCAAACCTCTGGTTAACCTCCAGGTTCTTCAGTTCCTTCTCAGCTTTTAACGCAGAAAGTCTGGCAGCCTCCTGCTCCTTCAGGAAAATGTGCAGGGCTTCAAATTCATCCTTGATCTGTGTTTCGGTATGTTCAGCCTGGCTCTGGAAAGATACATGATTAATGGGGGATCATTGCCTCCTCACCTTGGCTCTCTAGTCAACCAAAAAGTAGCATTTTGTACTTTTACCTTGATATGTTCTGCCATATCCTCACAAGCCGTTTTTGCTTTCCTATACACCTGCAACTTCTCTTTCAAAGGCAGCAGTGCACTCTTCAGTTCCTCCTACAAAGACAGTGACATCAAATCAAATCAAATCAAAGTTTATTTATAAAGCACATTTAAAAGCGATTTTTGGTCGGGCCAAAGTGCTGTACATGTAATAAATACTACAATCATAAAAACACATTACTACAATCACAATAAAAGACAATAAATTACAGCAGATATATAAATAAAACATTTTTTTTTTTAAAAACACAGGGAAAAGTCAGGAAGTCGTGCTCCGCTCTGACTAAAAGGCCAGGGAGAAGAAGTGTGTTTTAAGAGTAGATTTAAAGACCCCTAGGGTCTGGGCCGACCTCACATGGAGGAGCAGAGTGTTCCAGAGCCTAGGGCCAGCTGCTGCGAAGGCTCGGTGCCCTCGGGTTTTAAGCCTGGTCTTGGGCACTACCAGCAGCAGCTGGTCAGCAGACCTTAAAGCTCTGGCTGGGGTGTAGCGCTGGAGGAGTTCAGCTATATAGGCCGGAGCCAGCCCATTTAGTGCTTTAAAAACAAATAAAAGGAGTTTAAAATCAATTCGGAACCGAACTGGAAGCCAGTGCAGTGAGGCCAGAATTGGGGTGATGTGGTCACGCTTTTTGTGGCCAGTCAGAAGACGTGCAGCTGCGTTCTGCACTAGCTGCAGGCGTTTAATTGACGCCTGGTCCATACCCACGTACAGAGCGTTGCAGTAGTCCAACCTCATGGTAACAAAGGCATTAATAACCCTTTCCAGGTCTTTAAAAGATAAAAACGACTTGGTCTTGGCCAATAGTCGTATTTAAAAAAAGCAGGTTTTGACTACGCTGCTGACCTGCTTATCGAATTTAAAAGCGCTATTGAAGGTCACTCCAAGGTTCGTGACAGAGGGGAGGATATTATTTTTGAGCGATCCCAGAATATCAACCTGGGAGGCTAGAGGTTGGGGTCCAAAAAAGATAACCTCAGTCTTGCTCTCATTGAGGTTGAGGAAATGTTGGCTCAGCCAGGATTTGATCTCTGCTAAGCAGTCCATCAATAGCTGTAATGAGTTTACATTTGAATTGAGTGGCAGATAGATCTGTACATCGTCGGCGTCATGTACACATAAAAACAAGGTCATTGTGGCAAGTAGCCCAGCTGTCAGCACAATGTCAGGCTTTCAGCTGCCACATACTCTTCCATTGCTAGATTCCCTGTTCACAAAAAGCTGCACAATACAGGTGCATAGATGAAAGGGGAAGAATGATCTTATGCCCTGTTGATATGTCACAATTGAGCCCATGCACCTCAGAGTTAAGGCAAGGACACAAAACGGTACCCAAGAAGTTTATTTAACATTTTGTACCCAAGGTGTCCCTTTCTCGAGAGAAGGCATAGGAGGGTGGGAGTAGAACAGTGTCACAGAAACCTGGTGGGATCAAGTTTCAATCCTCTCGGGACCCCAATGGCAATGGCAAACCAAAAATATAATCTATTATTAGAATGTGAATGAACTAACACCTATATCAGCTTATCAGGCTTAGAGAGGCACAAACACACTTTTTTAGAAATTGTGAAAAATCAATGTTGACTAGCTATAAATTAAAACAATGTCCAGGTACAAAGAACCACTTGTTGTATTTTTTTGAACTATTGATCTGAGATTTTAATTAGTACATTTGCAAATAACCAGTCAATCTGAAATGGTGTTACCCCTGTGAAATACTGGGGTGACCAACCCTGTAACTAACTTACCTTACAGTCATGAGCACCTTCACCAATGGGATAGAGCCTGTGCCCGGTGTGTGCGGCTCCTTTCCCACATAAACCACAGATTGGCTCCAAGTCCTCCAAACAGAACAATGTGAGCTTTTCTCCATGCTCCTCACAAGCCTCTGGGTCATTCTTGCTCTTGTCCACCTTGAAGGATTCACAGGTCTTCTCCAGCGCAGAGCTAACCACGATTTGATCCATGGAGGAACGGCGCCAGCAAAGAGGACAGTAATGTGAATCCCCGCTGCCCTGAGTCTCCCAGCTGTCTTTCAAACAGGCTTTGCAGAATCTGTGCCTGCAAGTGAGCACCACTGGCTGACTGAGAATATGACCACAAACTGGACAGGAAAGGTCATCCTCAAGATGAGCATGTCTCGCAGCCATTTTTCTAAACAGGGCTTTGATGAGAAGGCAGGATTAGAGGCCCCTCCCAGGTCTATGGAAGGCTGCCTCATCTTGACCTCAGAAATAAGTGTTGATACCTCAGCTCCCAAAGGCATATCCCGTGTTATCCTCCTGTGCTTTGTGGAGCATGCACATTGCGCGTTCTCAAATAAACACCACACCCCAAAAAGATGAATTGGCTTAACATTTAAGAGGCTGTATCTATGTAGATCAGAGTGATGAGTACCCTGACTAACACCACGATGACAAAAGACAGTATGGTGTGCTATAGTCACCACTAAGTTATGTGAGAGGCCTGTTGAAACATCCTGTCACTGTGTAATGAAAGAGTTTACATAGACAGATGTCCAAAAAAAGACTCTGGGGGAGGGTATAAATAGAGAGAATTAACTGATTTGGATGTGGGTAAAGATATGTCCTCCGGCTGACCAGTGGAATATTTCCACTCTGAAGTTAGGCTTTGGCCTACACATTTAAAAAATTTACCCATGGTTATTTTTTTATAACACCACATTTAAAACCTACTTGTGGTATAAAACACAAATGTGTTTTGGGGCAAATTGAGGGTATTTCAAAACAAGATGTGCACACAGTAGTGAAGGTTAATTTTAATAATTTTAAAATGTATGAAATACTGAATTACAGTTCAACCGAGGTCTTGCTAAAAGCAAGACCTCGGTTGAACTGTAATTCAGTATTTTGTTGTGAGTATTAGTTAACATAAATGAGTGCTGTGCCAAAAATAGTTCAAGAGTTTGTAGAGAGAGATGGAAAGGGAATACAGTCCTTCCATTAGGAAACACTGTGTTGCTTTAACTCTTGAGGTTTAACACACTGTATGGTAGACCATACACTTCCCACACAAGGCTTATTAACAGGCAGCTTTAAATCATAGTAAGGACTGTTATTAGAGTGCACATTGTATCTGTAGCAAGCCGACATTACAGGCTTTATCATATGTATTGACATTTTAGAATAATAAAGTCAGATATAATTACATTTTGATGTATACAATCCCCTAAAGGCCTTCTAACATACAGGCAAAACTGTTCTCATTACAAAAATTACAGGTTAGGAGTTTAATAAGAGTTATTTGGTTTGGATTGCGTTCTGTGTAGGACATTGACCCTGACCAATCTGACCAAATAAGTGAAATTCGAGATGCCAAATGGAAAATATTATTTGTTCAGCAGTTCAGTCACTGATAGTGTAACAGTGACCCGCCAAAAGAGTCAACAACAACCCCAACACGCTACAGCCTGCCAGATTACTGGGGGCTCTGCATGCGGTTACTGGACAGGTAACAGATGTTTATTTTATTATGGATTTCTTTTTGTCAGTTGTAATGTTTTGGATATATAATAACTTTTATAAGATAGGCTTATCTAAAGTTGTGGCTAAGAAACAGTTATAGTGTTATTAGTTTGATTAATAGTATTAATTTAGCAAAAGTTTCTGCTCTTTTAATCTTCAAATGAGTCAATTGAATGAACAAAATGTCTGATTAGTAAACATTAAAATAGGTGGGGAAAGCGCATTGGATAACCATGATGTGCACATGTTTACACACAGAAGTTTGTGGGTGTGTGTTTGGGTGTTAGTGTATTTGTGTGCAGACATATGAGGACATTACTACAGTGCACACTCTACTGAGCACATTGGGAGTAGCAGGAAGGCCATAGTTGTGAAACTTTGACAGTTTTCCACACACATTTTCACATTACAAGTCTGTTCAAGATGTACAGATGTCCAGCATTTAGTATCTTGATCATGGTTGTGAATATTCATATTCATTCTTTATGTTGAATTAACCCAGAATGTACACAGAAATCCACTAGGAACAAGGACAACACAGCTGGACAGACATAAGGTATAGGCATGATTTGTGTACAGAAGCATTTTATAAAATAGATGTTTCTATTAATATAATCTAAATGCATATCTAAAAAGCACCAATAAACAACAATAAAATAAAAATGGTGTTCTTACAATTGCAGTATTTCTGTAAGTTGTGTAACAACATAATAAATAATGAATGGATGTATACCTGATCAGGATGGTTATGTACAATATGTACATGTTAAGGTTTACTGTATATTCAGTGTGCAGGGTTTGTATTTACTGAGACAGAGGTTTTGTTTGAAATCTCTGCCTTTATATCTGTAAAGTTATAATCTATAATAGGAGAAGTGGACTTAATGGCGTTACAGGGTTCAGGGTATGGGTAGGAATGATTTAACTGACGTCCTGTAGAGATCTAGATATAAAACATTATTCCCAAAACTATTAATTCATCTTACCTTATGATTAAGGAAGGCTTCCTTTATGGAATACACTATATGATTCATGTGCCGGCCTGATCCGTGGCATGTTGAACAGACAGGTTCCAGATCAGCTACACAGATGAGAACAAGTCGCCTTCCATGTACTTCACATGATCTAAATGGAAGTCCAGGGTTCGCTTTGAAGCAGAGAGGACACACCTTAATACCATGTTGTATCCAGAATCGCTCCAAACAACAATTACAAAAACTATGATCGCATTCAATGCAGCAGAGGACCATGGAAGACAGGAATATTTCCCCACACACGGCGCAGGAGGAATCGTCCAAAACCTCAACCTCCATCTGTGAATCTCAAGGCTACACTGGTGGGTCTCTACCAGGGCGTAGAAACTATATTCCCTCTGAAAGTACAGTATGTACCATGAGTGTTCAAGTGTACATCAAGTCATGCAGCAGGAGAGAGAGGAGAGTCTCTAGAGAATCCGGCATCTCTAGTTTCACCAAGTTTAGTTTCACCACATTCATAACCACTTTCAAACCATGCTATGCTACTAAAAAACTGAATCGATGCATGGGAGTTCAGTTAAAATGTTCACATTGACAACAGAGTACTAGAACAAACAGAAAAACAACATAATAATTCACTCATAATGGGCTGGCTACCCCCAGGGGATCGAGGGAAAGCGTAATATAAGAAGTGATGACCTGCAGGGGGAAACTCCCTAAAGGTCAGGGGGCCAGGGAAATGGCAGCCACAAGTAATATTAATACAAACAGACAAGAGGATAAGCATTTAGAAGAATAAAAGTCTCCTTTTTACTATTCATACTCCAAAAGGTAATTTATTGTTACTATTAATTTGCTTAACTGTCTGTTGTTACAAGCTCGTAATCACAATGGAAACCTAAAGGCAAAGTTAACACGATGCATTAACTCAATTATATTGATTTATTGGGGACATTTGGAGCTTGTTATATAATGAGACTTATTATAATAATAAATCCAGAGCAAAATATTGATACAACCATTTTCAAAAGGCTGCAGGTTACACAGAAAGGAAAAACGTCATTAGTAGAAGCACTAATTTGTATGCTGCTTTCTTCTGCCCTTACACACTCTTCTAGTATTTCTGATGCCTTTTTCTTTAATAAATAGAAAAATAAGTACATTTTTGAATCACATGGACCACTTTATTGATTTTCACACAGCAATGACAAAAGTGGGAACCTTTCAAGATTGCAAGACAAAATTAAACTGTACAGAGAGAAAAAAACATATCAAATGAATAATATATAAGACACAGAATTAAAAGTTAAAGAAGTGTGACATTTCTGGTCAGCTGCACTAACAAAAACAATGAGGTACCTCACCATGGGTCGACCCAGAATGTGTGTCAGAGTTCAGTCATCCATGGCTGCCTAGGTTTAAATCTCAGTTCAGCTGGGTCAATACTCTTCACGTGAGATTTCTTTTCTGGTTGACAAGAGATTAAGGCAACTCTGAAGGCATGCTCTATATATATACTGGCCGGCAGGATACAAAGTGAAACACTGTGGTTCACTTGGACATTAAATGTGTTTATGTATTACTGTGTAATATGTGTAACATTGCTAACACTTAGGTTAATAAAGAAATCTAGACTGCTGACAGGGCATAAAAGAAAGACAGGTTATGGCCAAATAATCACCACAAATGTTTGCGACATATGGGATTGTATGTTCATTCACCAAATCTTCAATACAATGTCATTTACATGTGTATAGTCTGAAGTGTATTAAATGTGATTTCTATTTAAAAAACAAATGTTATGTTACATTACATTCTCAATTTACAAACAAATCATTGTTGCCTGACAGTGTATATTCAGTGCTCTGAGATGTTTTTTAAATCATACTTAATACTTTTTGGCTTAAACATTAAAAACCTTTTCCAGAATGATTATATGTATATATTTTTGCTGGTCCCTAGCATCTTAAACCCTCCTCTTGGTCACAATGGTACAATAACTTCACATGAGTTTCCTGTCTGGGTGATCAGAGGCACGTCCGGAGCGTTGGTGCCGGACCTCCAGGTGTTTGCTCTGAACGCGGTCAAAGTGCTGGAGCAGCTCATTGTAATCCACCTGAATGTGAGAAGCACGTTTGGAGGCCACCTGCTGTTTCGAGTCCATATACTTTGACTCATCCACAGTCCTCATGAGCTCCGGGTTAGGGACACACCTTAAGCGGTGGGAGAGCAGCTGGAAGGCCTGGCTCTGCGGCAGCAGCATCAGCAGGCCGTACAGAGCCTTTATCAGGTAGGGGTTGTTCTCCACATCTAGCAGCTGCAGGCGCAGGTAGGTGAAAATCGGGCTTTCGATGAGCTGTACAAGCTTGTCGACCTCCATCAGGAAGTCTACTGTGACCTCCAGATCTCCAAACTTCTGGATGAGGTCATAAGCATGTTTGTAGTTCTGCGTGAGGAAACAGAGTGACACAGTGGCTACAGGGTTGTGGCACCAGGAGCGATACAGGCAGCAGAACAAAGCACAGCTCTCCTGAGTGTGCAGGTCTTTCAGCTGGTTGCGTAACTGGAAGAGCTCAGCCGAGGTGAGCAGGATGGTGTTGAGCGTCTGGACCATGGTGGAGGCGAATTTTAGGTCCTCTTCCTTCAGCAAGATGTCAGCCATAGAGTGGAAGATGTTTTCTGCGTGAAGCAACAGACAGAGCTGTCTGATAATAAAAGCTCCTCTGTTCTCCAGAAGCTTCCTCTCCAGACTGAAGCGTTTCAGCAGGTTGATCATGAACTTGTAAAAATAGGAGTTCATGCTGGGGGTGGACGGGGACGAGTCTGCTGCTTTGGAGCCTGTGATAGGCTGCTGACCTGGCTTGGCGCCCTCTGGGACCTTGAGCACCAGTTTGTTGTCAGCGCTGTCACAGGAGCCGCCTTGGTCTGATTGGCCAGCAGGAGATGATGCGATCTCAGCTAACACCTCCAGATCTTTCAGTATAACCTCGTCGGATTCATCAGACAGGGTTTTCAGCAGCATTGGAAACAGACTGTCTGTGTGACGGAACATTTTGCGTGGCGTCTTAATGTAGAGGTGGTAGAGCCATTTGAGAACAGCGATGCGGGTCATCATGCCAGTGGAGGAGTCGTGGAGGTGCCGGCCCAACACCTGAACAATACCGTCCAGATCCAGAGTGACCTGAGGCCTGTCTGCATTGGCCGGAGTGAAGAAGCTGATGTTACTGAACCCAACAGATTCTTGTGATGCATTCAGCATATCATTGCTGTCTACCTCCGTCTTAGGCTGGCCATCCTCCTTGGTTGGCGACTCTGTACTTTCACTTTTCTCCTCCTCCTCGTCATCCTCAGGAGTCACTAGCTTCATCAGACTGTGATTACAGGCACTGGCTGCTTCTTTGGTATTCTTCTTTCTGTCGTCATAGGAAAGGCAAGGCAGCACTGCAGTCAGGATGCCAGAGGAGTAGGGGAGAACCGCTCTGCCTGCCAGCTGGATAAACTCTCTCATCCAGGTCATGGCGGTCAGCTGGATCAGGTCGTTAGTGAGTTTTGTTTCATCTGCAACCTGGCAGTGGATGACCAGGATGTTGGCCATCTCTGCAAATTTCACGTCTGAGGGTGTTTTCTTAATCTCCTTCAGAAACTCTCCAAGCACCACCTCACACGTCCTACGGATCTCCTTGCTGTTGTCTCCCAGGATCTGGAAGAGCCCATCCAGGATCTCAGGGAGGTAGTCCAACAGGTTGATGTCTGGCACAGACTCCAGAACATGGATCCAGGAAATAATAAACTGCCGAGCATATTGATTATTTGAATAGATTCTCTCTCTGAGCAAGGGGACAAATGCCACTAAGTCAAACTTGTTACTCTCTGTCACAATGTCTTTCAGCAGTCTGTCAAGAAGTTCAGACCCGCTTTTCACATTGGGGTCTGGGTCTGCTGCGAGCTTGCTAAGACCATCAAAGAGCAGGTTGAAGTGGGGAAGCACAGCTCCCCTGGCGACCTTCACTATATTATAGAGGGCCTCACAGGCATAGTAGCGCAGACGGCTGTCTGAGTCATTAAAGCACGTGAGCACAGGCTCAATAAGCTCCTTCAGATACAGACCTGAGTCTTTGCCGAGGGCGATGGAGCAGGCTGCCAGTCCAATGAGACCCCCCTTTCGGCTGTGGGGGTGCTGGGAAAGCGCAAACTCCGAGGCCAGGATCTGGATAACATGTCTGATTTGAGTGGAGTTGTTCTGAGCCACAAACTCCCGCACCAGTTTCTCAATCTCGAGAGCTGCGACTTTCCTCTTCTCGTACAGTTTATCATTCAGAGCCCTGACAATGTTGGGCGTCAGAGGCGAAAAGTCCTTCTCCGTGTTCATGTTCGCAGCTGTAGTTGTACCGGATCCCGTCTACTCAAATGTAAGTTATTACGTGCGAAAGCGGTCTGCATTTATGACAGTTTATAACAGAAATACAGCGGTTTCACTCGCAAACCAGGAAGCCCTGTGATACAACGCAGCTGACTGGACGCAGCTGACCGGATACATCCGCCGGACACACGTAATGTGTGTTACATTTATTTAGGTCCCGCGTTGCGAGTACCGTTAGCTCAAATTAGCTTCGGATACAGTTCATTATTGTTATACCGTTTGGCGTTTGAATCGTATTCATACTTTTTATTGTGAATAGTTGTTACAGCCAGGAGCTACCATGGCGAGCCGCGTCTCTTTACACTTGCAGCTCACCTCCATCATGGAACCATTGGCCATGTCCGCCCTGAAGCAGGTCTGTAAGCTGGTGGATGAAGACTCTGCGGAGCTCCGTGTGGGATTGTCTCAGCTCATGGCGGCTAATTCAGCCCTGGAAGAGAAAGTCAGCAGTCTGGAGTGCGAGCTGACGACTGTGAGAAGCGAAGCTCCTGTGTTGTGTAAAAGTATTCGCAGCGTAGGCGTGCAAACTGTCTGCCATAAGGACGGGGACGCTCATGGTAGGCTACTTATGTTTCACACTGAAAATAGCTCAGATAAGAACATAAATCTTCTGCATTGTTTCTGTGTTTACTGATGTGTCTTCCATGTCCTACTTTTATGGTTTGACTTTCCAGTGTCTGGGTCGCCCATCATAGAGGGGATCTTTGGAAAAGATTGGTGTATGAATCTGTGGAAAGACAGAGACCCATGCAGTCTGGGGGTAGACTCACCAAAGTGCTCTGACGTAAGTGGGTGATTCAATAGCTATTAAATGTGTGAAACCTGTAGAGTCTTGAACAATAAACAACTGTGGATATTGCAGCTGTAATTGTGAATAATACAAACTTCATAATATGTAGGTTATAAATGTGTATAGCCATGGTTGTGTAATCAATTATTAAATGTAAAAGCAGTCCCTTGGAATAATGAAGAACAAATAACATGAATGTGAACACAACAACCTTCACAACCATCATTATTATTCATATTATCTTAAAGTTAGGAAAAATGCCCATCGGAATTTCCCAAATCCCAACATTCGAAATGTTGGTTTTTCGTCACCAGTCCAAAACTGAAAGTTTAAAAACAAATATATTTTGATGATGAGGGAAACAGCAAATCACAACATTTAAAGAAGCTACATTTTCCATGATTATTAACGTAAAGACTTTTTCAAATATCAACAACTCGACTGATAATGTGAACTTTAGTCTGGCAAAGCATTGCTGTCATTAAAATACTACAGTTTAACATTTAGACTTTTTTTTTTATTTGCAGTCTGTGGCGACACAATCCAACCAGATTACTGTAACTGAAATCAAAGAGGAGGATTGTGTGGAGGAAGCCTCCAGCAGCTGCCAGCAGGAAACACTTTGTAAAGAAGGTAAGAGTATAGAGCATTGACATAAAGAATACAAAACAGATTCAGCAGCTTTAGAAGCATTTTGAGTGTTTCACTTTGTATTTTTTCATGCAACAGAACATGAAGAAAGCAGAGCAGAGGAACCAGAGTCAGTCGGTAAATCGGCCCATGGCAGCACTTGCAGCCTGTCATTAGATCAGGATGGAGAACAGGTTGTGTGTGCAGCGGGTATGGAAGAACCACTCATGCAGCTGACATCCATCAATGACACAGAGGAGGCCTTCAGCACTCTTAATATTCCAATTGAAGAGGAGGACGATATACCTCTCCCTGAAGAAATTCAGCAAGAGCTTATGAAAAACACTAAAGGTGGTCGCAGAAACTCTGAAAACATCCCTGCTGTGGCTGATGAGTTACTTAATGACTTCAATATGGTTAGTGTAGAAACCGCCGGAGTTCAAGACAAGGACATATTTACGTGCCAAATATGTAACAGGACTTTCTTCCACAAGCGCACTCTAACAATGCACATGAAGTCCCACAAGTCAAACTTTTGCAATATTTGTAAGCAGAATATTTCTCGCAAATACAAGTGCAAGTCGCACATCTGCATACCTCCGTTTCAGCCTAACAGAGACGGTAAATCATGTGAGTTCTGTGGGAAGACCTTTGCACGCCCAGCATCTTTGAGGATTCACAGTCTAGTCCACACTGGAGAGAAACCACACAGGTGCAGTTTTTGTGGAAAAGGGTTCACCCAGAAATGCAATCTGAAATCTCACTTGCGTATCCATACTGGAGATAAACCGTTCCGCTGTATTACATGTGGGAGGACATTCATACAAAAGGTCCTCCTCAGCCGTCATTTAAAGGCAAACAAAGATCATCACGTCTGATAGTCTGGACCAGGGGTCACCAACCTTTTTTAGGATGAGGGCTACTTTTAAAAAATAAAACAAGTCAGGGGCTACTTTTACTCCTCTTTTCTTTCTTTTTTTGCAGTGTATATATTTAGCACATTTTAACATTATGATATGCTGACCTTTGCGTCAAGTGCAATACATATATATGCAAGTTGCAGCACACAGAGTAAAGCTCTGCCCCCCATGTGTTGTATAGGCTGCATGATAGGCTGTTCAATGGGGCTGATGTGTAGATTCTGCCAGAAGGAAAATCAGCGGGGAGGTGCCACATTGCTTTTCTTCCCGATTTATTCTTATTATACATCCATGCGCTGGTCCCGCAAATCAAGCAAGAACGTGATTGGTCGATACTCATTGTGGGGGTGGGGGGAGGAGGGGTGTTAGATAGATATAGAGTTGTAGTAAGTAGATAGAGTTCGCTATGCTTTAGGTTTCGTTTATGCATAGGGTAGATTCTTTTAATTACATTTCCTTTTTTGTTTTGTGTATTTTATACATTTTGGATTTGCTTGGCGAGCTATTTTTAGAACATGCCCCGCGGGCGACTCACGTTGCCCCTGCGGGCGACCAAGTGCCCGCGGGCACCGTGTTGGCTACCCCTGGTCTGGACACATCTTAAAGGTATAACGCCTTGATTGTGGTGTGAGGACAACATTATGTTCTCACATTAGTGATGTGAGATAATGTCATGTATGTAGACTTGTAGTATCTACAGGAGTCATTAAAAACAAACAAGTATTAAGCAAGTCACTGTTTAGTGTCAAGTGAAGGAGTTCAAGTATCTCGAGGTCTTGTTCTCGAGTGAGGGAACAATGGAGCGTGAGATGGGCCGGAGAATCGGAGCAGCAGGAGCGGTACTGCAGTCGCTTTACCGCACCGTTGTGACGAAAAGAGAGCTGAGCCAGAAGGCAAAGCTCTCTGTCTACCGGGCCATTTTCGTTCCTACCCTCACCTATGGTCATGAAGGATGGGTCATGACCGAAAGAACGAGATCGCGGATACAAGCGGCCGAGATGGGTTTTCTCCGCAGGGTGGCGGGCGTCTCCCTTAGGGATAAGGTGAGAAGTTCAGTCATCCGGGAGGGACTCGGAGTTGAACCGCTCCTCCTTCGCGTCGAAAGGAGCCAGTTGAGGTGGTTCGGGCACCTAGTAAGGATGCCACCTGGGCGCCTCCCTAGGGAGGTGTTCCAGGCACGTCCAGCTGGGAAGAGACCGAGGGTTAGACCTACGACCAGGTGGAGGGATTATATCTCTTCGCTGGCCTGGGAGTTGATGATGTTGTGCCTTGGAATCCCCCAGTCAGATCTGGTTGATGTGGCCAGGGAAAGGAAAGTTTGGGGCTCTCTGCTGGAACTGCTACCTCCGCGACCCGACCACGGATAAGCGGGAGAAGATGGATGGATGGATGGACTGTTTAGTTATTTCTGTTTTTGCAATGAATGTTCATTTTATTAAACTTTTATTTGACAGAACTCTCCTTTTTCAAATATGAATGATGTTATGTCTAATCTAAACTTCACTTCAACTTGAATATTCGGTTTTATCAGTGGTGTCTTGCCATTTTTTATTTCTTTTAAAATCTGAAAAGTGCACATCTGATGCAGCTCTTTAAGAGGCATGCAGTTAGTGAAAAGGGGGGGGTTACCGCAGCATCCGGACTAAAACCACCTGACTCAGGGACATTTTCCTCCCATAGGCAATAAGACTATTAAACACCGGAACTTGAAACAACATAACATTAATCTGGCTGCTACTTAGAAATTATTTATCTAATGTATCATTCCAATCACTTATTTCACTTTTTTACTATTTTTCTTTTTGTATTTACTATTTACTTGCACTATTTTTTTCTTATTGTCTGTTGTATTGTGTTGCACTGTTAGAGGAGCCTGTGACCTAAGATTTTCATCGTCATAACTACACTGTAGTTATGTACGTATGACCAATAAAAGCCTTGAACCTTGAACCTTAACAGCACAAGGCAGAGATAATTCACTCAGTAAATCACTGTGGTCTTTTCAGGGGAATCTTATTACAAAAAAAAAAATGTATACAGATAATTGCTTTGTTAGGTATGATGACATGTTCAGTATAGAATATAATAGCATTTCTTGAAAATAGTTCACATTTAAAACCAAAACAATACAATTTGACTCGACTGACAACACCATTTGTCTTTCTGTAAACATACTGCAGCCCAACAAATACATTTATTTAAAACAGTAACACCATTTGAGCCAGAACTCAAGAACATTATGTAACGAACACACATCAACATTTCACAAGTAGTGTTTTTAAAAGAGACCATTTCAGTCAGGTCAATACTAGTAAATGAGGCATGATGTGAGATAAAGCAAGGGTGAGTCAGTGAAGCAAATAGGGAGTTGTATTACTTCTACATTATTGTGAAGAGGGCGGGGGGGTGTTGTAGTTAAGTACTCGAAGAATCGCACCAAAACAATCTAGATAAATAAAAAAATCACTACAAGCAATACGTTCCATATGTGTTTGAAAAGATAGGGAAAGCTATAAAGAAAGTGGAGAAGTGGTCATACAACTGGGGTTTCAAGCTGTCAGCAAGCAAATCTTGCTTCATGAAATGTATGAATAAACGCAAGATGGAGACTGAGAAGCTTACATTATATGGAAAGCCGATGAATGAGGTCAATTAATTTAAATATCTGGGGCTATGGTTAGATAGTAAATGTACATGGAAAACTCATAATAAACATTTGGAAACAAAATCCAAAAAAGTGTTGAACCTATTAAGAGCAGTGGCTGGATGTGACTGGGGGGCAGACAAACAGGCATTAATCGACATCTATAGGGCAATTATGAGGACAACTCTGGATTACGGGTGTATAATATATGCAGCAGCAGCAAAAACGTCATTACTAAAAATTGATAGGTAACAATATAAAGCGTTACGGTTGTGTATAGGTGCAATTAAGTCAACCCCTAATAATGGAATATTAGTTGAAGCAGGAGAGACTCCATTGGAGCTAAGAAGAGAGAAAATTGCTCTTGCTTATTGGGTCAGGTTAAAAGGAAGTGGGGAAGGAAATGTCACAAACAAAACATTACAGGAGTGCTGGGAATATTCCAAGTTTCAGGGGCGTGGGTTTGGATGGACAAGTAAAGGAAAAATAAGGACATACGGCATGCATGAGTTAGAGTTTTCACCATCAAATCCATTCAGTAGTGTACCCCCATGGCTTTTTCCAAAAGTAAATATAGATGTGAGTATTGTAGAAAAGAAAAGAGAGTGGCAAATAAATGAAGTAGGATTCAAAACAAGTTTGTACCTCAGGAGTAATTATCACAATTACCTCAAAATATACACAGATGGTTCTAAGAACAAGGAAGAGTGTGTCGGAATTGGTATATATATCCCAGAATTAAAAATATCGATATCAAAAATAGCGTCAGACCAACTTTCAGTGTATACAGCAGAAATGCTGGCAGTAGTAATAGGATTACAGTGGGTGGAAGAGGTCAGACCAGATAGGCTGGTGATATGCACAGATTCATTATCCAGTTTACAAAGCATACAGTCAACAACAACTGCCAGAGAAGACATTCTCATAGAAATCAATCACAGCCTGTTAAGACTTCACAGAAGCGGCATAGATCTGCAGTTCTGCTGGGTGCCTGCTCATGAGGGGGTGAAAGGGAACGAGTGTGCTGATAGATTAGCAAAAAGTGCACTACAAAAGAAAATCACATTACCAGTTAAACTTGGAAAAGGAGAAGGAAAAGCAGTAATTAAGAAAAAAGGGATGGAGATCTGGCAGAAAAGGTGGGAGAAAGACCAGAAAGGCAAAGAGTATCATCAAGGTCAAAAGACAATTACAATTAATATTTATAAAGAAAGAAACAGAAGGGAGGAAATCATGATAGCTAGGCTCAGACTAAATCACACGGCTTTGAATGGTACGCTGTATGTCATGGGGAAAAGTGACAGTGACAAGTGTGGGAACTGTGGAGTTAGGGAAAATGTGGAACATATTTTATTACATTGTGTCACCTATAGAGTTGAAAGAGGAAAATTAAGGGATAAAGTTTTAGAGGCAGAGAGGGAGTGGAATGTAGCTGGTATTCTGGGAACAGAAGGAGAAGGAGTAAGAGCTACCAGAAAGGCACTGTTCACCTTTTTGAGGGAAACTGGGATAGGGAAAATAATCTAACAGTAGGTTAGAATAGATCATGGATGATTTGTTTTTGTTTTGTTTTATTTATTTTATGGTTTCTTAGTTTATGTTTTTCGATATGCTGGTTTATTAGAGGGATGACATGATGATACACACTCGTGTACAGTAGGTGGCGGTATGCAACCAAAAGCTGTTTGCGATCCGCCATTAAAAAGAGAAGAAGAAGAAGAACATCCGCTGGACACACGTCATGTGTGTTACATTTATTTAGGTCCCGCGTTGCGAGTACCGTTAGCTCAAATTAGCTTCGGATACAGTTCATTATTGTTATACCGTTTGGTGTTTGAATCGTATTCATACTTTTTATTGTGAATAGTTGTTACAGCCAGGAGCTACCATGGCGAGCCGCGTCTCTTTACACTCGCAGCTCACCTCCATCATGGAGACAATGGTTATGTCCGCCCTGAAGCAGGTCTGTAAGCTGGTGGATGAAGACTCTGCGGAGCTCCGTGTGGGGTTGTCTCAGCTCATGGTGGCTAATTCAGCCCTGGAAGAGGAAGTCAACAGTCTGGAGTGCGAGCTGACGACTGTGAGAAGCGAAGCTCCTGTGTTGTGTACAAGTATTCGCAGTGTAGGCGTGCAAACTGTCTGCCATAAGGACGGGGACGCTCATGGTAGGCTACTTATGTTTCACACTGAAAATAGCTCAGATAAGAACATAAATCTTCTGCATTGTTTCTTTGTTTACTGATGCGTCTTCCATGTCCTACTTTTATGGTTTGACTTTCCAGTGTCTGGGTCGCCCATCATAGAGGGGATCTTTGGAAAAGATTGGTGTATGAATCTGTGGAAAGACAGAGACCCATGCAGTCTGGGGGTAGACTCACCAAAGGGCTCTGACGTAAGTGGGTGATTCAATAGCTATTTAAATGTGTGAAACCTGTAGAGTCTTGAACAATAAACAACTGTGGATATTGCAGCTGTACATTTGAATAATATAAACTTCATAATATGTGTAGATTATAAATGTGTATAGCCATGGTTGTGTAATACATTATTAAATGTAAAAGCAGTCCCTTGGAATAATGAAGAACAAATAACATGAATGTGAACACAGCAACCTTCACAACCATCATTATTATTCATATTATCTTAAAGTTAGGAAAAATGCCCATCGGAATTTCCCAAATCCCAACATTCGAAATGTGTTGGTTTTTCGTCACCAGTCCAAAACTGAAAGTTTGAAAACAAATATATTTTGATGATGAGGGAAACAGCAAATCACAACATTTAAAGAAGCTACATTTTCCATGATTATTAACGTAAAGACTTTTTCAAATATCAACAACTCGACTGATAATGTGAACTTTAGTCTGGCAAAGCTTTGCTGTCATTAAAATACTACAGTTTAACATTTAGACTTTTTTTTTAATTTGCAGTCTGTGGCGACACAATCCAACCAGAGTACTGTAACTGAAATCAAAGAGGAGGATTGTGTGGAGGAAGCCTCCAGCAGCTGCCAGCAGGAAACACTTTGTAAAGAAGGTAAGAGTATAGAGCATTGACATAAAGAATACAAAACAGATTCAGCAGCTTTAGAAGCATTTTGAGTGTTTCACTTTGTATTTTTTCATGCAACAGAACATGAAGAAAGCACAGCAGAGGAACCAGAGTCAGTCGGTAAATCGGCCCATGGCAGCACTTGCAGCCTGTCATTAGATCAGGATGGAGAACAGGTTGTGTGTGCAGCGGGTATGGAAGAACCACTCATGCAGCTGACATCCATCAATGACACAGAGGAGGCCTTCAGCACTCTTAATATTCCAATTGAAGAGGAGGACGATATACCTCTCCCTGAAGAAATTCAGCAAGAGCTTATGAAAAACACTAAAGGTGGTCGCAGAAACTCTGAAAACATCCCTGCTGTGGCTGATGAGTTACTTAATGACTTCAATATGGTTAGTGTAGAAACCGCCGGAGTTCAAGACAAGGACATATTTACGTGCCAAATATGTAACAGGACTTTCTTCCACAAGCGCACTCTAACAATGCACATGAAGTCCCACAAGTCAAACTTTTGCAATATTTGTAAGCAGAATATTCCTCGCAAATACAAGTGCAAGTCGCACATCTGCATACCTCCGTTTCAGCCTAACAGAGACGGTAAATCATGTGAGTTCTGTGGGAAGACCTTTGCAACCCCATCAGCTGTGAGGATTCACAATCTAGTCCACACTGGAGAGAAACCACACAGCTGCAGTTTTTGTGGAAAAGGGTTCACCCAACTAGGCAATCTGAAATCTCACCTACGTAACCATACTGGAGATAAACCGTTCCGCTGTATTACATGTGGGAAGACATTCATACAAAAGGTCCTCCTCAGCCGTCATTTAAAGGCAAACAAAGATCATCAGGTCTGATAGTCTGGACACATCTTAAAGGTATAACGCCTTGATTGTGGTGTGAGGACAACATTATGTTCTACTTCTCACATTAGTGATGTGAGATAATGTCATGTATGTAGACTTGTAGTATCTACAGGAGTCTTTAAAAACAAACAAGTATTAAGCAAGTCACTGTTTAGTGTCAAGTTATAGTTAGTTATTTCTGTTTTTGCAATGAATGTTCATTTTATTAAACTTTTATTTGACAGAACTCTCCTTTTTATGAATTACGTTATGTCTAAGCTAAACTTCAACTTGAATATTCGGTTTTATCAGTGGTGTCTTGCCATTTTTTATTTCGTACTTTTATAACCTGAAAAGTGCACATCTGATGCAGCTCTTTAAGAGGCATGCAGTTAGTGAAAAGGGGGGGTTACCGCAGCATCCGGACTAAAACCACCAGACTCGGGGACATTTTCCTCCCATAGGCAATAAGACTATTAAACACCGGAACTTGAAACATCATAACATTAATCTGGCTGCTACTTAGAAATTATTTATCTAATAAATGAAGCTCAGCGCAAGTTCTTTCAGGAAGACTGGGTACATTCACTCCACAGCTGCATATAATCAGCTGATCACGGGCGTTGTCTATAACCTATTACATTCACCTCATTCTCAGCAGCCAATCACTGTGCTGCAGCCAAACTTTAAAATGGTTCTCCTCTCCTGCAGTCAGCTGTGATTTCAGGTTTTCATGCTGCTGCCCGCCCGCATCCACCCCATCCACCTCCTTTCATCATATCCAGTGCCAGGAGAGTTAACCCAAAGACCTCATCACACCTCCTCTTCATCCCATCTCATCAAATCCAGATCTTCAGCATCATCACCAGTGTCTAGACCCCGTGGGGTTCCCTATATGCTCACGGCTTCATTTCCCCCTTTAGATATACGATTTCAGGATCGGGGTCTAATCCCCAAAGACTTGACATTTATCATATGACATGTGTCAATAAATGTTCTTTAAACAAAATGAAGTCTCTCCTGATTGAAATCAAATCACTCATTTCACTTTTTTACTATTTTTCTTTTTGTATTTACCATTTACTTGCACTATTTTTTTCTGATTGTCTGTTGTATTGTGTTGCACTGTTGGAGGAGCCTGTGACCTAAGATTTTCATCGTCATAACTACACTGTAGCTATGTACGTATGACCAATAAAAACCTTGAACCTTAACAGCACAAGGCAGAGATAATTCACTCAGTAAATCACTGTGGTCTTTTCAGGGGAATCTTATTACTAAAAAAAAAATGTATACAGATAATTGCTTTGTTAGGTATGATGACATGTTCAGTATAGAATATAATAGCATTTCTTGAAAATAGTTCACATTTAAAACCAAAACAATACAATTTGACTCGACTGACAACACCATTTGTCTTTCTGTAAACATACTGCAGCCCAACAAATACATTTATTTAAAACAGTAACACCATTTGAGCCAGAACTCAAGAACATTATGTAACGAACACACATCAACATTTCACAAGTAGTGTTTTTAAAAGAGACCATTTCAGTCAGGTCAATACTAGTAAATGAGGCATGATGTGAGATATAAAGCAAGGGTGAGTCAGTGAAGCAAATAGGGAGTTGTATTACTTCTACATTATTGTGAAGAGGTAGTTTTGAAGGTTTATGCTACATGTGTGCAAACAATGGAGCAATTGTCCAAAGTATGAATTTGGCATTATTTGACCCAGGCCTTGTGTGGCATGAACTGAGGTATGTATAATGCCACTCTTAACCAACATGCAGAGTAAAAAATTAAAGCATTTTCTGTCATAGCTTGGATAAGAACCTCACGTTAAATGTAAGTAGCAAATATGTTTTATCTGAGACGTATCAAACATGATGCGAAATAGGCTTTTAAAAAAGGGACAGTTGACCCCAAATCACAATGTAGTCTTTTCCTGTAGTGCTATTTATCAATCTAGACTGTTTTGGTGTGAGTAGGTAAAATCGCACAAAAACAATCTAGATAAATAAGAAAATCACTACAATTAAAGGTGGGGTAGGTAATTTTGGAGTGGGGTGGATTTTTTGTCAAAGCACTTAAGATATTCATTGCTATCGGGATGTTAAGAGCATTCCATGGAATATAACAAAAAGTGTATCTCGAGCCGGTTTCTCAAACTTACCTACCCCACCTTTAATACGAAAAATATTATTTCTTATTTTAGGGTGTACATTAAAAACCTTGTTAAGGGAATAACATATTTAACAATGAAAACCCTAAGCCATCAAATAAACAAAACAAAAAAACATTTAAATTGCACACTAGTAACGACAGCCTTCTGTGGTTTGGATTCTGCAGCAATTCTCTTAGCAATAAATCTAAAAATACATCAAACAAACTACTATTTTCTCAGCAGCATCATTTCCCATACAGGCTATTAAATTGGCCTTTATTTGATATAGATAGGAGTTTTTTAAATATTAATCTGTCATCTACATTTGAGTTTAATTTCAAGTTGGCAGGTTAAGCCACTGAACGTGACAGAGAGCACTTTAGCAGAAGTGATTTGATCGGTTAATTGAAACACTGGTGGTGATTTAAACCATACTTGTATGCATAACATTTCCCACAGTCCACACAGCTGTAAGGTTTTTCGCCGGTGTGTGTTCGAATATGTATGTTCAGAGAGCTTTTCTGGGAAAAACTTTTGCCACAGTCGGGACAGCTGTACGGCTTCTCCCCAGAGTGCACGCGTTGGTGCAGTTTCAGGTACGTTTTCTGAGCAAACCGCTTCCCGCAAACGGAGCAGCTGAACGGCTTCTCACCTGAGTGTCGCCGGATGTGGACTTTCAAACTGCTCAAATAGTTGAAGATCTTCCCACAGAATAAGCACTCAAACTGTTTCGTTGGCCTCCCAGGTTTGGGCGGAAGTTCTTTGGTGGCATTCATGAGGATATTGTTTGAAAAGTCTGAGTACTCGGCGGTGGCTGAGGAAGAACTTGTGTTGTCAACCATTATGCTCATTGTTGCATCATCTATCAACTTGTCCATAATGGTTGGCTGTGGGCGTTGTTGTGTTTGAATGTCAGCTGTCATGGGGTAGCTGCTTAATTCCCCTGAGTTAAGCTGCAGCTCATCAACAGATCTATGAAGAATGCTGTCCTCGTCAAAGATTCCACCAACTGTCAAATGGGAACAAATGTAGTAAAATCACAGAAACTTGGTATTATAATCTTTGGATTTTGTTTATTTATGTACCTACCTTTTCTGTTATCTGTGAGCCTCATCTGCTGGCCAATGGGATGATCATCATACATCTCCTCTTTGACGAAGATCAGATCAGGTTCCCTCTCCATTAAGTCTATTACCTGTCAACAAGACATAAAAAAACAGCTTTAAATACATCAGTCATTCAGTCAACAAACAAATAAAGCTAGTTGTTGGTATAAACACTGACCAGGGGCCCCATGCTTGTCATAGCAGCAGGCTCCACTGTTGCTTTTCTTTGACTTAGGGCTTTTTCTTCTCTCCACAGATCCATGCACCAGTCTTTTCCATAAACTCCATCAATGGCTGGAGCAAGATGCTGCTGGTCTGGAAGAAGAAGCAGGTGTGAAATTCTGACATCCTACAGATGGTAAACAAACTTAGAACAGCATTAGTGATTCGTTTTAGACCGGATGTGCTGAGCTGGACATAACTAAGTGAGGAGGTAGTCTATACTGAAGCTAACGGGCAAACAAGCATTGAAATATGAATATTGAATGTAGCAGAGGCAGCTATTAACCAGATTTTGGACCCTCCTGACCGGCAGGCTGTCTGAGGCTGACATTGTAACAGTAAAAATAAAAAATAAATAAAATTAAAAACACCTTGAATTCCAGGCGGAGCGCGGGGCTCCGTTGGCAGGGCGCAGCGCCCCGCCAAGACAATGGTAGGGGAAACACTGCTGTTGACATGGGAAGAAAAGGTCTGTGCCTCCCTGGCTGCTCTCAGTTGGACCTCCAGCAAGTAGCACCTCTTCTTCAGAGCCTCGCTCTCCGTTTTGTGCAGGGATATCTCGGAGTGAAGGACAGAGGAGCATTCATCAGCCAGGTTCCCTATTTCCACCAGAGCCGTCTTCGTTAGCTTGTCCAGGACAGCGGCTAACTGCGCCCGAAAACTCCGGTTCGTGGTGTCGCACATCATGTCGATAGGGAGAGGGAATATTTCTAACTGTTTGCAATATTCTTAGCGGAGCAGCGGTTACTCTTCCATCAAATATGATATAGCTGTGCCGCGATGCATTGTGGGAAAATGATATTCTTGCATTTCAAAATGTACGAGCAGCACCTGAACGCAGCACGGTCTGAAAAAAACGTTATTTCACTGAGGTAGAGACTAACGTTTTATAGTTCAGTGGGAATGACAGAGATATTAAAGTAATGTTACTACTGCCACTAATTCCGATTTAAAGAATGAATACTAAATAGATTAGAGTCAGAACCTTTGTTGAAACAGTCCTGTAGTATTAACAAACGTGAATGTTTACTGCCCTCCAGCGGCCACAGGGAGGAACTGCAGAACTGCAGAACTACATCACAATAGTGGCACTATTATGTCAATAATAGTGCCACTATTGATATGTAATCATTATCAGTGTGGTGATAATAAATAATACAGTAATACCAATAATGTATTTTTACAGTTAGTTTTTTTGTCAAAAAGCACATTCTTTTTATTATCATCATCATCATCATCATCATCATACAAATTACACAAGCGCCAATGCAGACAAGGTAGCCTACTAGGACTTGTATACAAATATATTTATATAAAAAAGAATCATAGTTATCAACCATAAGATTTCACATGTCACAACATGGTCTCAGTTATCAGTTGTCAAAGTCAGTTAACTCAAATCTGGAAAGAAGATACACACATCATTTCAAACAGCAGTTTTTTTTACATTTGACAGGCTGTTTTAGGAAGCTCAATTTATGAATGTCCCATATGTTGGTACCGTACACCAGATTCACTACCATACATATTCAAACTAGGGTCTAGATGTACTGTAAGGTGTTTTTTCAGATTATAGTTCTTTGTAAAGCCCTTGCCACATTGCATACAAACAAAAGGTTTTTCTCCAGTGTGTGTACGCTGATGCATATCAAGAGTGCATTTCTGAATAAAGCCTTTTCCGCAAATAGGACAGCGGTAGGGCTTCTCCCCAGTGTGTGTGCGCTGGTGTGTGTACAGATGCCCTTTTTGTGCGTATCTCTTTCCACACAGCGTGCACCTGAACGGTTTTTCACCTGTGTGACTTCTCTGGTGTATTTCTAGCTGGCTAAAGCATCTGAAGTTCTTGCCGCACTGCAAGCATCCAAACCTCTTAGCAGCTGAGTTCCTCAAGTGTTGAAGCTTCATATTTCTGAGCACACTTAAGCTTTGAGTGGCAACATTTTGGGCTAGGCTTTTCCCAGCAACTGGGTTTGTGTGTGCAGGTGTAAGCTGTGGATTCCACTGTGTTTCCCTCCTCCCTGGTACAGCGAGAGACGGCTGACTGTGCATAGTCTCAAAGCTGTCAGTAAACAGGGGCTGCAGACGATCTGCCATGGGTTTGGTACGCTGCATCACTTCTGAGCCCCTGTGGGTGTCTTGGAATTCTTCCCTTCCTGTTGACAACATACACAATTTCAGTTTGTGGACAGCATAAACATCGCTGTGCAACAACATATTTATTTAATACTCACTATTTTCACTTGTCCCATCAGGTTCACAGTCCACCTCTGATGGCTCTTCTTTTACCACTATCAGTTCTGGCTGATCTCTCAGTTGGTTTGGGAGCTAATGAAAAAACAAAATGAGTGCACGACTGTTACACATAAGGACATCATACATTACATTGACACAATATGATTCGTGTACAACTTACTTCCGCTATGGCATGCTCCTCCTCTTGAAGGTGATGCCAACTGCTTATCTCTGTGGAGGAACTTTCCCATGGACTTTCACTGGGAGGCAATAAACTTATATTAGAATCACCAGGCAGGGTGTAGCTGTTTACAAGAGTTATGATGAAGATGTAATTATTGTTTCAGCAAGTAGTCAACAAGTCTACCTTTTAATGGCAGGTCTTGTCCTGTCAGGCTCCACAATGCCTTCCTCTGAACCGTCCCTCACCACTGCGCATACTGCTGCGTCCTGTCTGCTGCCCTGCGCGATATAAAGCAATTTCTCCATCAGCTGCAGTTTCTCTGTGAGCGAGGAGATTTCGTTCCGCCCTCGAGTAATCTCAATTTTCAGCATCTTCGACTCGATCTCGACCAGTTTGCTTATTTCCATTACAGTTGTTTTGGATAACGCGTCCATGATGGAGACGAGCTGTGTCTGGAAAGAGAAGACTGTCGACATGGTTAAAGTATTTGGTTTGACTGTTGCACGCGAACGAGTTGTTGCTGTAGACCAGAGATCTTTAAATGTTCAATGTGAAATTTGGTCGCAACGTAAAACACGAGAAGAGCTGTTTGTGTGCATGCCAGCAAAATACGCGTGAAGAATCTCTTCAAAACTCAAGTAGTTGAAACGAGGCAGCATTTCCATCTACCGGCTGGGAGGAAGTATAGCCCCGGTACACAGAACTACAATATCGAGCTGTATTGACAGAGCTTCTTTATTGACTTCAGTATCTTTCAAATGTGTGTGAAACTCTCCCAAAATCTACTGAGGTATTTTGTGAATTGCCTCTTTTTTAACCTATTTATTTTTATTGACTTGTATGTTGTTGTAGCTACTTAATCTGCGACTACACTGACCAGAATGCAGTTCGGTCTAAACACAGATAGGCCATTGGCTGTTTTCTTTATTTGTTCATGATTGGCTGGTGAGTGAAGTTTCCGGAAGTAGTGCATTGAATTACATTTGCCGACTAAAACTCCTCCACACATTCTGCTGCTGGGATTACCAGTAAGTAACGACAGATATATTTTCGAACATGTATTGTAACTGCTTAAAATTCAGGTTTATTTAAGAAATAAGCACGGCTTTTCAAACATATTTTCGATACTGGCTACCGCACTACCGTGCAAAATCAGCTGGGGTGTATAGCTTTTAGCGCCAGTATTTGCATAAATACTCAAAGGCTACTTATATTGCAGTTTCAATATAAACTTTAGTCAAGATAAACTTCAGTCAAAATATGTTTCATCTTAGATAAACAAACACACTGTATGTGGATCATCTTTACAGGCACATCATGATGACTTGCAGAAGTTGTTGACTTCCTTACACATTGCTCAAAGCCTGTTATTACCCCTCTTTCTCTTTCTGTGCTAACAAGTCAATCCTTTTTTCAGAAAGCTATCTCATGGCTGGCAGAAGAGTTGTGGTCTTCCCCTCCTCAGCGGAGCTTGGTCCAGTGCTGGCCCAACTGGTGACATCTCGGGCTGAGAAGGCCATCGCCTCTCATGGCAGGTTCACCTTGGGCCTCTCTGGAGGAAGCCTTGTGTCCATGCTTGGCAAAGAGCTGCCCGCCCTGCCAGACCTGGACTGCAGCAAGTGGGTGGTGGGCTTCTGTGACGAGCGGCTGGTTCCCTTCGATGATCCTGAGAGCACCTATGGGCTATACAAGGTAATTTTTCCGGTGTGCGCTTGTTTGTCCTGGCTACATTAATGTATGATATGTAATTACGTTGGAGTCAAATGTAACCCTTTGTTTTTTCCTAGGGTCAGTTGTTTTCCAAGGTCAACATCCCTGACAGTGGGATCTTAACCATTGACTCCTCCTTGCCAGTCAACGAGTGTGCTGAGGATTATACCCGCAAACTGAAAGAGGTGCAGACAATTTTACAGATCTGTGGTCAACTTTGGCTCTAAAGTCACAGACCAATATGTTTGCAAAATGTTTACAGAATTGTTTTGTTGCTTCCAAACAAACAGGCCTTCCCAGATGATAAGTTCCCAGTGTTTGACCTGTTACTGCTAGGTATGGGGCCTGACGGACACACCTGTTCCCTCTTCCCAGACCACCCTCTCCTGGAGGTGAGGGCCGTACTCAAGAGAAACTATCAAACATACAGAAAGAATCTGTAATGTCCATCATAGTCTTGTCATGGGGGCATAAATACATCCCTACCCTGGCCACTTTTTTATTTAAAAGCTTCTCATATTTTGGACCATCATTATGAACCTAAAACTAAATTGCACATCTGGATGATAAACCTTGTTGGACAGTGACACTCTATTTCAGGATTGTCTATAACTTTGACTTAATTACACGTTTATGTGCATGCAAATGTTTCTGTAATATAGGCTTATACAAATGTTTCATCATTGATGTGGTCCCTGATGTGCTGATCTAAAAGAACCATGTGTGTTCTGCCTTTACATTTCAAGACACTCCCCTGACACTGTATAGATAATTGATAGGTTTGAATTAAGGCACTACTTGAACTATGTAGTCTGCATGGCCATTCCTTTTAACATGTCTTTGAGGCACTCTGACTCATTACACATCATATATTTGAAAGTCATAGTACATTCTTTGGTTGTGGTTCACACACAGACTCTTTTTGGTGACTGTGTACTTTACAGAAGATGAATGATTGGGTTTTGGTGTACCCCATATTTAGGAAACCAAGAAGATTGTGGCCCCCATCAGCGACTCTCCCAAACCACCGCCACAGCGTGTAACTATGACCTTTCCTGTGGTGAACTCTGCACGCTGTGTGGCTTTGGTGTCAACAGGAGGAAGCAAAGCGCCCGTTCTGAAGGTATTGTTTGCAGCCTTTCTCTAAATCAAATCAAATCAGGTTTTATTTATATAGCACATTTTAAAAACGATTTTTGGTCGAGCCAAAGTGCTGTACATGCAAATAAAAAACACATTACTGCGATCGCAAACAGAAGACAATAAGTTACAACAGCAAATATAAAAATCAAACACAGGGAAATGGCATGAGTCGTGCTCCGCTCTGACTAGAAGGCCAGGGAGAAGAAGTGAGTCTTTAGTGTTGATTTAAAAAGGAGTTCTGCTATATAAGCAATTCGGAACCTAATTGGAAGCCAGTGCAATGAGGCCAGAATTGGGGTGATCTAAACACATATCATGTTCATAATCTTAAAACACTATGTTTCCACGGCATAATAAATTATTACTAGGCCATATTTAGTTACAAACCCAGTCATTATGGGGTGGAAAAAAAACAATTGAATTGTTGCAGAAACAAAAAACATGCACAAAATGATTGAAATTACTCTACAGGTTTATGTACATGACTCAGCAGTTACAGTTGCCAGAGGTTACAGGATCGTTAGCTTGACCACAAATATATGCCTCTATTCTGTTACAATAATTATTGGGTCAAGAGTGGTATTACCCACTGACCAGGCTGAAACATGATTTAAACTGCTGAGTCATCAGCACAATCAGAATAAGGTTAATCTGCACTGTTAATGTACAGTTTTATTATTATGCTGCTGTGTTTATTGTATTTGTGTAACTCTGGCACAACCAATTCCTTCGGGATAAATAAAGCCTTATCTTATAAGGAATATGGGTTGGTGCAAAAATATTTGGATAAAATAAAAATACAGGCTAACATAAATCTAGAATACAAAAATATAAAAAACCGCTGTATGAAAGTTTAGTGCTGTTGAATTCTAACTGTGACAATTTTCTTTCAGGAAGTGCTGGAGGGTAGAGAAGGTCCAGCTTATCCAGCAGCCCGCGTTGTCCCGACTAATGGCGAGCTGTTTTGGCTAGTCGATGACCCCGCAGCTTCTTCCTTAACCATACAGGTAGAGAGGCTAGGCTCAGGGGCCAAACTATAAAGCTGCCCGTCGGATAAATGAAGGCAGGAAGCTAACCTGAAAGTAGAAACTGGAAAAAAGTGCAGAACATTCCTACCTTCACATGACAGTGGTATTCCTTTACATAGGTGAAATAGTGACATAGGATATGGAGATGATTTAAAAAGATTATATACGTTTGTTATCTCAAGGAGTCAGCACTTATTGGAATGTGGTTAGTGTGTCTGAGGTGTAGCTTTTTCTGAGTACGGTTTAAAGTCCCCCTCCCCTTCAAAATGTGTTTATTTAGCTTATTTTTACATAACTGTACAGAATAATGCACAGTATGGGCATAGTTTGATATTAGTCATTTGAAGAATACAGCTAAAATAAAGTGAAAATGGACTTCAGGTATGGGAGATATCTTGCACTGTCTAAATACTCTCAATGGAGAATGAGTTGGTGTAATTTTATGAATTTAAGAATAATCTACTTTATTTTGTTGTGAAACCCCCAAATCATTAACTGATGCAGAGTATTTAATTGACAAAAATGTGTCTGAGGAAGATCTTTAAAGTTAGACTTTTTTGGCTTTGAAGTTCAGGAAATTCATAAAACACAAGTGCAGTCCAGATCAACAGTTAATTCGTCTGACAACGTTATAATTAATACACTGTATTTGGGTGCATTTCTGAAACGCCTTTTACAACGTATTTTCATTAGCAATTTGGAAAAATAAAAAGTGAATTGAACGTTTGCCTCTTGGTTTTTCCTGAGCTATCTCCACAGTCCATCCCCTTTAAGACTACCCCACCCCTTTAATGCTCAACTTTGCAGCGTTGTCACATCAGGAGCTGCTGAAGAGATTTCGCTTTTTTCTGCAATGACCGCGCAAAGTAAAGGGACGCCTTTTATATAGCAGTGTCTCATCGGGAGACACAACTGTAGCAAGATTCATTATATTATATATATTTCTTAATTTATTGCCGCAATGCCGGGGCTCGCCTGGCTCCCCGCCGCCGTGCTCCTGCTGCTGTCCGGCTGCTCTCCGGCTCGCGGATACTTCGCAGAGGAGCGCTGGAGCCCCGAGTCTGAGCTCCTCGCGCCACGGGTCCTCGTCGCCCTCATCTGCAGGAACTCCGAGCACTCTCTGCCGTATTTCCTCGGTAATATTGAGCGCCTTAACTATCCCAAGGACCGTATGGCTTTGTGGTAAGTTGATACTAGGACATGTTTGCTTTCTCGCAAGCTAGTAAGCAGCTAAGAAGTATATTTAAACTACATGTCGCTAGCTAAGGTTTCAAAGTAAGATTCATTCTTGAGTTGTTTTGCATTAAAAACTGCATTGGTGGCTGCTAGACTCAGTTTTAGGGGGTGGGAATGGGGTGGACCCCCAGGCAATGACGGGGTGCAATGTATCCAAGTTGTTTCGAGTTTCAACTATGTACACAAATCTCAACAAACAGGAGAATAATGAATAACTGACCCCGACATCAGAGCACGAATGATCACTTTCAGCAACCTTAGGTGGTCTCTGTGGTCGTACAGAGGTGAGCACATCTGGTCACTGCTCATCATCAGGGGGGCATGCATTGATCTGTATACGTGGAGGGGAGGGGACTCATCTTGCCGCAAGGGGAGCTGTATGATTTAACACAAATCCTAATAAAGTGACTTATTGTTGAGTCTGCACTGTCCATTAATGCACACACAAACCTTTTAGTCTCATACTACTTCTCCTCTCCTCCAGCCTGCATCAGCTCCTTACAGCGGTTTAGGCCTCTGTGTTATTTGAAGTAATTGACTGTTTTATATCCGTTTATATCCCACAGATCTCCATCTTGTAAATCTTTAGCTTCAAAGGACCCCATCTGGGAGGAGTTATGTTGGCTATAGGGAGAAGTTTAAACTGTCAAGCATGTAGTCAGTAAAAGTTTAATAACTGATCTTCCAAAACGTGCTATAACAAAAAGTGATCAACACTCATTTCACTTCATTATGTTTTACTCCTCTAATGGAAATGTTATGTAATTCATTTTCATCCTTCATCATGGAAAGTTGTGAAAATGGGACAATTTGCCTATTTTGCTTTGTGCAGGAACAGGGCAACTTCAAATACAGTATATGTGATTATGGAAACTAAAACCTAGTTGTATTATCATCTATTATGGCTCACTAAACACGTGTTTCCACCACATTCAAGGGTTAAAACAGTTGAACCCCAGCCGTCACTTGTGACAGACTTAACATTTAAAAAATGATCCTGTGAGAGGTGCAAATGGATGTTCTAGACCTCTTAAACATCTGTCTGCTGTGCGCAGGCTAAGTTTAGGGAAGTGAAAGGGAGGTTTTCTCACATAATAACAACGTGCTCCAACAGCCCCCCCATGTTTATATCCTGAGCTCTCAGCAGTGAGCATGACTGCCTGGAGGGCTCAGAGAGGTATGCTCTTCACTCATCAACGTGACATTTGACTTTATTGAGGGGCTTTTCATAAGTGGCACTGTTTGATTTTCCTTTTATTGTGTTGGTTGTACTCTGTTGAACTCTTCTTTTGTTCATATGGCTGAGGTAAGAACCGTGATGTTTACATGCTCCGCAAGCACATTAATCTACATCTGTAAAATCCACACAGCTGCAATATGTTATAAACACTTTATGCTGTATGCCCTCTGCTAAAGCTTTTTGCAGCTGCTTGTAAGCATGCCAAGACGGAAAATCAGAATTGGCCAAATTGTCATGTGAATCTTGTCTTTTGATCTAAGCACTGCATTTTGTACTCTAAAATGGCAATGGTAGTTTAGCTGTAACACTACTGGTAGAGATGTTTAGAGCACCAGTGATACATTGTTCAAAACTATGCTTTAATAAAATATTTATTATTTATTTGAGCTAAACATTAAATGGAAATGAGTGTGATTCAACGTTTAAGGATGTATATGGATTGACAGCAGGATTGAGATATGAAATGGTTTACCAAGGAGCTGCTATGTTCTCACAGATCCACGTGAAATATGTCGGGGAAAGTTTGGCTGTCGTCCCTATGAACAAAAAACGAACTCGGCTGTAGTGCAGATGTTCTTTTTGCAAGAAATATATTTGCCCTCAAACTAAACTGCATGGCTGAAGCCCGGAAGACCCTGGATTTTGTTTTGTGGCAGGATTTCTCCGACTTTTTTTATAAAGAAATTCTGGCATTTGTAATGACCTTGATGGTGTTCATCTGGTTTCCCTCAAGAATGGCTGGAGCCAATCATTTCCTTTTGTTTTAAGCTATTGCAGACAAAAGTTTCACCTTTATAATGGTGTGTATTTTATATAGTATGGTCGCTCGTATTACTTTCCTGAATTGGTACTCCTTGGAGTCTGATATGCTGCCCTATAGTATGTCAATAAGATATGGAGTGTCTTTGTTATGTGATGTTGGTATCATTAACACTCATGTCAGTTCCCACAGCTGCAGACAAAGTGCTTAGAAACATTGAACACTGGGCTTTTGTTATCTGAGCCATGGTATTGTTTTTCAACTCTTGGAACTTGCGTTCAGTCTGGTACTTGTGCTCTACATTCAATGTTACTGTTCTCCTTATTTTGGCCTCACTTGCTGAAAATGTTCAACCCCTCTAGTGTTGAATAGACTTCTTTCTAATAATGTACCTTTTGTTGTTTATTGACAGGGTGGCAACTGATCATAACAAGGACAACACCACCGTCATTCTGCGGGACTGGCTTGTGAAGATGCAGAACCTTTACCATTATGTGGAGTGGAGGCCAAAAGAGGAACCCCAGTAAGCTATTTACTTGAGTCTCTGGTGAAACCATGCATTTCTGAAATGGCTCAGTCTGACCATTACCCAAATGTCTCCTGTAGAGGTTATCGTGATGAGGATGGTCCGAAACAATGGACAGACCTCCGTTATGAGCATGTTATGAAACTTCGGCAAGCAGCGCTGGTGTCGGCTCGTGAGATGTGGGCAGACTACTTCATGGTAGGTCAACAAAACTGCTCTTTACAGGCACAGCGTAAAGCACAATAACTCTGAGCAATTTTGAGCCTATGCTTCTACAACATTCTGTATTGTCCAATAATAGCAGCAGAAGGCTAAGTACAGAGTCAAAGCACCACCACAGTTGTAATTTTGTCACCAGGAAGGGTGTCCAAAATTGCCCCAGTTATATGTTTCTGTCTCATATTGGTTAAAGCTTATCTGGATCCTTACACTGACACAAAACTTAACCCGACATGAACCATATTTTAAAACCCTGCACGTTTCTATTTGTATTCCCCAGACCAGCAAACATGGTCCAGCTTCAGTGGGGTATAATTTTGAAGCAAATTACATCCAGAATTGCAATGATTTTGTGCTACCAATTTTAACCCTTAAAAACAGAACTGAGATGAGCAGTCAGTGAGGTTTGTTTAACATCTAGGTTTTTAGACACTTTTCAACAATTCTCAAACATATTAACACTTGATTTCCTTCCCTTGTGTAGCTGGCAGACTGTGATAACCTCCTCACCAATCCTGACATGCTCTGGAAGCTCATGGGAGAGAACAAGACCATCATTGCTCCAATGCTCGAATCCCGTGCAGCCTATTCAAACTTCTGGTGTGCAATGACCTCCCAGGTACTGTGTTGTTGATTGGATGTACATGTTTGTGTACGTAAAGCTGCTCTGTTTGATATTAAGAATGCTCTTAAACCACACTTTTTCTTTAGGGTTACTATAAGCGCACTCCTGCATACTTACCCATAAGAAAGCATGTGCGCAAGGGCTGTTTTGCAGTTCCAATGGTCCACTCCACCTTCCTGATAGACCTCAGAAAAGAGGCATCCAGGCAGCTGGTCTTTCACCCGCCACACCCAGAATACAGTTGGGCTTTTGACGACATCATTGTGTTTGCGTTCTCCGCTCGGATGGCAGGTATTAAACAATTCAATGCTTGAATCTACATATTTGAATCTAACCTTTTTAACCTACGTGGTTTGACTTCATATTTGTAAAACATTTGAATTCTCTGCTCTACAGATGTTCAAATGTTTGTGTGTAACAAAGAGAACTATGGTAACCTCCCTGTGCCTCTGCGATCCCACAATACTTTGCAAGACGAAGCTGACAGCTTCTTGCACTCCCTGCTGGAGGTTAATGGTGAGTAGCTTCCGACTGAGGGCTTTACTTCTGCATCCAACTCTCTTTTTGCTTGATATTCTTCTTCCTACTTCTTTATTTAAAGCTACCTATCAGCATGGGATTCCTATATATCACTTGTATACCATTTCTGCATCCATCTTCCCTCTCACTGTGTAGTGCGAAATCCCCCAGTGATGCCTTCCAAATACGTACCTGTTCCTACAAAACAACCTGACAAACTGGGCTTCGATGAGGTGAGTATCAAGTGATGTGAAGATGGAGTCTGCAAAAATGGCCCTCTTTCCACTGCTGTGCTGAATGCCTCCCCTGCTGTTAGAAACCTGTTATTACATTGGCTGGCTCCACTTTCGTCCATGTGTAGGTGTTCATGATCAACCTGCTGAGGCGCACTGACCGCCGAGAACGTATGATGAGTACGTTATATGAGCAGAAGATAACATGCAAGGTCATTGCAGCTGTTGATGGAAAGTAAGTTCACTCTATTTAATGAGTACTTTACACCTATTTAGCACCTATTTTCCCCTTTTTTGCGTTGTCACTTTGTCACATTTGTTCTCATGTCTATTTCAGAGGGATGAATATCAGTGAAGTTCATAATTTAGGCATCCACATGCTCCCTGGATACAATGACCCCTACCATAACCGCCCACTGACAAAGGGAGAGCTGGGTTGCTTCCTATCCCACTACAACATCTGGAAAGAGGTGAACACAAGAAGCCAAGCATTTGAACGTTTGTGAACCAGACAGATAAGTGATTGATAAATGTGTGTCTGGACTTAGATTGTGGAGCGACGACTGGAAACCTCCCTGGTGATTGAAGATGACCTGCGCTTTGAGATCTTCTTCAAACGGCGCTTGATGAACTTGATGAAGGAGGTGGAGGATGAAGGGCTGGACTGGGATCTCATGTGAGTTTGTGCCTCCTTCACAACCTTCAAATTGTCCTTAAATCTCCTAAATTAGCAACTGCTTCTCACGCTTTCCTTCCATCTCTTTTTTCCAGTTATATTGGTCGGAAAAGAATGCAGGTGGATCGCCCAGAGAAAGCAGTGCCTAATATTCACAACTTAGTGGAAGCAGATTATTCATATTGGACTCTAGGCTATATGATTTCATTACAAGGGGCGGAGAAGCTTTTGAAAGCAGAACCCCTGAAGCGGATTTTGCCAGTGGACGAGTTTCTGCCCATCATGTTCAATAAACACCCTGTGTAAGTGTGCAGATACACAACTATCACTTCTGCTCATGCATTTTTGATTTATTTTGTTTGTTTTTACTGACATTACCTTCTCCTCCACAGGTTTGATTATATGAAACAGTTTGAAACCAGGGACCTAAAAGCATTTTCTGCCGAGCCTCTTCTAGTGTATCCAACACATTACACAGGCGACAGAGGCTACGTCAGCGACACCGAGACCTCCACAGTGTGGGACAATGACAAGGTCCGTACAGACTGGGACAGAGGGCGCACAGGAAAGACTGGGGAGCAGGCTGAGATCAGCACTGAGGCCCAGAACTCAGATGTGCTCCAGTCGCCTTTGGACAGTGCGGCACGGGAGGAGCTATGAGAGCAACTTGATGAGAGCTTTGGAGTATTTTACAAACCACCTTTTTAATCATGTCTCAGCTTTACATTTTTGGTTTTGTGTAACATCCCTGGATCAGAGTTTGTAGGAGTGTGACAAGTTAAAAAGGGAACAGGGGTGTCTTGTGTTTTTCGTCAGTTTGGCATTTTTACTTTTATAAAGGCACTAGACTTGCCATTTGGAATGGCATTTGCAGTACCCAACTTCTGTCTGTCATACAGAAATGAACTTATATATTTGCAAAGAATGCAATTTGACTTTAACATTTCAGTAATTGGGCAGTTAACTTTGTCCTTGTTTGAGATTACAATATGAAATGCTTTCTGTTAAATGCATTCTCAAGACAAAACATATATTTGAGTGTAACCACACTGAATGTGACTGAGCAAAATCATGACTTTTACAGATATTTGTATGTTTAAATCACCATAAATAATGTTTTAATGCTTTTATCCAAGATGAGAAACATCTGCATGTCTTTTGCTTTGATACTTTAGTATTTTGCCTTTTTTAAACTTCATATTGCTGTTTTTTTTTTTCAGCCATCACTTAAGATGCTTGAACCAGAGCTTCCTTTTACCAAAGCAACAAAACACACAATCAACAGTTGCAGTACTCAGTATATACCAATGCTTTCCTTATTCCTGTGTCTTTTCTCTCCACTTTGGGATTGTTTCCAGACTAAACCCGCTGTTGACAATTTGATGGTTGGACCAACCACTTTACACGCCTCAAACTTGCTGATTTGGGAGTAACTTAGTATTTTAAGCCCTTTAAGTTCCCTTTAAAGAGAACCCACCCAGCCACATCCAAACAGGCGTTCCACCTCTTAATCATTTTCAGTTAAATCTGATTTTGAGCATTTTGGGAGTGTAAGTCTTCATAAAATGTCCCTTGGAAAAGAGAAACAAACAACAAAAGGTTTGTATTATCTTACAATTTACCAAATATTTATTCTGTCTTGGCTTTGTTGTTTTTTTGGCCGTTCACTCACAGATATTGCACAAAATGTTAGTGGTGCATTGTGCCAAGGATAAATAAACATTTTTATTTTTTAAAAAGCTGAATTTGTGATTACTGTGTTATTTCGTATTACAATGCTTGTGTAATCAATGTATCTCTGTAAATGTTAGTTTGTGCACATTTTACAAGATGGGGAGAACAAACAAAGGCATGAGTTATCACTAACATAACTTTTGATTCTTAAAACAAATGTGGATATTTTGACAGAACATTTCTTACTGTGACATTTTGCATGTGATTTCTCTGTTAAAAGGCTGTTTATTCAGACCTCATGTACCATGCTAAATGCATGTGGCAAAACTGTGGTGAGCCATTAAAAGCATTTATACGTAGTTCATTTGTATATGTCATACAAGCAGGTATTGAGTTCACGCTCACTTTCTTTTATCTTTGTAACCCTTAAGGTATCATCATTTTACTGACACTGCTTTAATGTGAAGCTGTGAAGGTTATATTGTATGTCCCACATACCGTACAACCTTCACTATTCCCAATACATAACAACCAAATTCTCTGAATGAATCTCCTTTTTGTTATGTCATGAAGAACTTGATTTTATCAAATGTTGAAAACTGATATCAAGCTTTGCCGGCAAATACCAAGTTCAAATGTGGTATAATTGTCGCAGATCTGTAATCTGTAAAAACATATGCTTTAAAATCATTTTTTCTTACTAAAGTGACACAATTAAAACACAGTTGCAACTTGTGATAGCGTAGGTGGGGCCTACAGTGACTGCTAGATACACTTCCTCTTCCATGTTGGTTAAAAAAAAAAACCGCCACCTCCACTCTACAAGAGGAAGATCTTTTTTAAGAGCACAACGGCAGCAAGCTCAGAGCTGCATGCTAACAATCTGTCAGTGTGTGTACGCTCTGCAGTGCAGTATTACTGCCCCTCAACATTTATCTGTGTATTGCAGTGCTACCTTAAGGGCAGGTGATGTGTGATTGGTGACGGTAGGGTCTGGCTCCTGTGGTGATAGTGTAGAAATGGAAGAAGATCAAGTGCCTAACAAAGATTCCCCTCAAGCCACGGGTGAGTAAAGAATGAGATTTCTTGAGTTAATTTTGAGGAAATGTTGCCTTCATATATAAGCTATGTTACCCATTAGGCTTGTTGGTATGTTAAAACTGTTTTGGTTCATTTAAAAATGACTTCACTTGTAAGGTTTGTTTTTTATATGTATGTTTGCTAATTGGAAATGTGCTGACATTGCTGAAGTGGCATTATGCTTGTGGGTGTATGCTTAATGTGCCTGGTTCTGCCTTTGTAAATGCTGTGTGTCATCCTCCTAGTCAAAGGAGGATTGCTGAACTTCCTGAACTCTTCATCCGTTTGACACGTATTTTTATGTGTGACTTCTGTAATTTTATTTAACAAGACATGGCTTTCTTGTATCTTTGCCCACAATAGAATATGAACTATAGATATCACTGAGATTGGTGTGACAGTTAAGTAGATTTATTTGCAATATGTTTGTTAGTTCATAGGAACATTTCACATGTGACTTCAATTCACAAACATAAAAAACAGCAAACAAAAACAATCCATAGTTTTTTATTTGACACTTAAACTCTGTGTTTTAGTTTTGATGAAACATTTATATTGCCTCTCATTTCTCCCTCCTATACTGAAACACTGCTGGTGTGAAAAACAAAGGCTGTTTTTATAGGACGTGACACAAATTGGTAACAGGATGTGGTTGACCAAAATGTAGATGTCTCTGAGAGAGTGAGATTGCTTTTTCTCATTTTTTGCATCTGTTGTAAATCAACAGTTTTTAACGGTCTGGTGTGCCCGAAAGTGAACCATCAGTTTACTAGTGGGAGTAAATTAGACTGAGACTTTGTCATCAAGATAAACCGTGTTGTTCCTCATTATGTTTTGGTTTACATTTAGACCAAGTTCTCAGAAATATAAAGGAAATGCTATTAGCCATGACTTCAGAGGAACTAAATTAGATTTTTTCATTTATCCATTCATTATAATGATATCTCTATGATCTTGTTAGCACAGTCATTATACTAATGCTATGTTGTACATAAGTTGTTTAGCTGATGCCTCTGTGGTAATGAGTAGTGCATAGGTAAACTATATTGTATTTTTCAATGAACACATCAGCAAAATGTCAAGAGAGAAGCAGGTCTGAGCAACATGGCTTATTCATCATTCGTACCTACAAAGTTATGTTTGTTTTTGAGGCTTTATAATACAAAGAAAATTGAATTTCTAGAAAACTTAAAGCTTATTTATTTACAAAGCACAAAAGGCTCTGGTTTGTAATGAAGTGGTTCACTCTACTTTTTATAAAAGGAGAATGTTTATTTTGTGTTGAGATGGTATCTACATGTTTGTATGGTCTGTGTTTGGTGGTTAGATCACATTTTGAGATCTCAAATCTACAATGTTGTACTTAAATAAATAGTTGTTCCTTACACGATCTTTCCATTTCTTATTCCAGATGTGAAGAAAGTGCAACGTAAATCTGAAACCAAGCGATACAGTGAGATCTTCAGAGACTTTGATAATCTTGAGTTATCTTTAATTTCTTGGTAAGTATTTCACATTTACAAATCGCACAGTGTAGCCACGTCTTGTCCCGTTCACCTCTGCTCAGAGTAATCTGATTACTGTGATGGGGGGGGGAAACTGTTAGTGAGACTTCATTCAATCAAGCTGTAAGCATGGCTGGTCAGAGTACACCAAACATGATCAAACTATTCAGATAGAGTTCAACTCAAAGCCATAATCCAACAATTTTAAACTCAGCCAGCTGGGTATGATCTTTCACCATAGATTGTTTCATGCAATGACCACATTTTTCAAATCTATATAAGGCATGTGTGTGTGATACTGATCAACAACATGTGCAGTTAATGTGTTTCCTACATCTGTCGTCAACGTGGAAACATAGCTTCAGGTAATGTTTTTGTAATATGTTCCCCAACAAACCCTATGACTTTTTAGGTATTGTTATTTAAATTTTTCTGTGTTTCCCTCCAAATAAATTATTTCACTTTTCAGTTCCGAGGAGGATCTGGTAGACATAGACTCACAGTCCATTTCAGAGTCCATCTCGACAGAAGGCGCAGATCCCACAGAGCAGCATGATGTTTCTGTAAGGAATCAATACCTAGCTTAATACTGATGTCTGTTACTTATATTGTGATTTTTTTATTTTAAGCACTTACATATCATTTAATTTGCTTATTCCCCACATATTATATTGTGTGTGGAGGATTAGTGAGTCAAACTCTGTTTTAAAACAGGCTACTTTTTGTCCACAGGTATGTGCTGAGGCCAATGAACTGGATGGAAACCAACCAGGTATGATTTATGTCAAAGAGAGGAAAAGGACCGTGTGTGTATGTGTGTGTGTTTGTGCTCTGCTGTTAGAGTCAGTTGCTGTCAGTTTTAAAATGTAATTCATTTTATATAGTAGTCTATTTTCTTCTATCTTGAAATCTATTCTTGTAATTAGCAGTGAGTTGTAATTGCCCTGTTGTAACAAGATTAGGATAAAGGTCCAGGATTAAAGCACGAGACAGCTGCTGCCAGTTTTGGCCTCAGACACAAGCGGGAAATATAGGGGTCTACTGAAAAAGGAAGTGTCAGTGTTAAGCACGCTATTAAAGTAAATATGGTGTAGAAAGAGAAAAGGACTAGACTGTCTTTGCCAAGTACTCCAACTCAGTCTGATTTTAACTACAGGTCACAGCCCACAGTAAGAGATTAGGAATTACAGGTTGGATAGCATTACAAAAAACACAGTGGTAGTAATAATGTATAAAAGGCTCAACAAACTCTTTTTATTTCCACTGTAGATGCGTCATCAATGTCCTCTTTTAGCTTTATGTCCAAATCCACCTCTGTTAAACGCAGCCATCATATCTTATATCACACTGCAGAGAGACCAGTGAATTTGTATATGTGTAATCAAGTCTCACCAAGCACATTACTAGAGCATGCTCTTTGGCGATCTGGTTTCATGTGTTTCCATTGGTTGGGGTTGGAAACATACCAACACCTCAACCCCCCCCTTTCCTCAGTCACACACCATGAGGAGGTAAACCTCACTGATGCTCCTCTAAAGCCTGTCACTTCACAATCTGGACCTGACAAGGATAATCCCCAATCCGAGCGCAGGGGGAGGAACCCATGTGGCGGGACAGAATCTTTTCGGAGGCTCATTTCTGAAAGTGCTCAGAGCTCTTCCTGAAACAAAACACAGAGAGGAAGGCTACCAGAGGTCAACCCTGACACACAACCTTGCCGCAAAGTCCTAATTTTTCTTGAACTACCGGTTTTTTTGTTTCGATTTTGCTTGAAGACAGAGAACAAAATATCTCCCTGCTTGGATTTTTATACCACTGACTGGAGGAGTTGTCTGATTGAAAATAAAAAAAACAGACCAGAACAAAAATCTGCATCTCTGAGTGAGGAAGTGAGGGGAGAAGTTGTTGCACTCTCTCTGGCTTTGCGTGCATGCTCAGTTAAAAACAAAGCTGCTTCTTGGAACTGAACTGTGGATCCTTCAAAGTTCAATCTCTTGAACTTCATCTGTTGCTCTAACTCTTGCTTACAGAAGAAAATAAGGATATGTTCTAATAGATTTTGACATTTTGTTGCAAATGTTGTGAAAGTGTAGCACAGACATTAACAGGAAAGAAGAAAGTGACGTGGGGAGTGCTTGAGAGAACACATGATTGTCACAAATGCCCAGTTTTGTCAGTCAGAGGAAGAAGCAGAGTGGTTGTCATTAACCGCCCTGCCTGCCTGACCACATGAGAGCTGTGACAGGAGGGTGACTGATACTGCACACTGGCACTGGACTTGTCTATTATAAGTCAACAGGTGTAAGAGGGAGGGGCCAGGCAGAGAGAGGAAGAGAGGAGAGGAGGGAAGTTATTTAGCTAAAGCTCTTTCTCTCTGGTCCATAGAACAACCCTCTCTCAGGTCACTTCTCCATATGTGCCTACTGAAAGACTCATACACCCACTGTGCGTACTGTTCTGAAACCTGTTGAAACCACAGGACTTTTATTCTGAGGAGCTGATCTAACTTGGCAAATGCAGTCATTGTTTCCTGTGTGGGGTTTGTGACGAGCATTTTTTTTTAAGTGACATTTTGATAAAAGTCCAGTTGGGGGATTTCTCTCTAGAGCATAGAGATGATTATTTTAAGCTGAAGGCTGTTTGAGGAGCAGAAAAAAATGTGTGTGTGACCTAATGGACAGTGTGTGATCGCTGGGTCCAGCTCAGAGTGTGTGGAGCCAGCAGTGATGGTGATGTACTCCCTCTCAGTCCAGGAAGCGGACCTGGCTCTCTGT